ACTGTTTTCTTTGAAAACGTTTGTTCTTGTTTGCTTAAAAATTTGAAGAAGGCTTCCTACAGATTGAATGATTCTATGTAAAACTTTTCCTTTTGGGAACTCCAAGCTCTAGCCACCCACCCACCCCACTGACATGATGGATGGAAAGAAAGAGGAAAAAAAAAGAAAGATACAAGAGGCTGGATATGATGGCACACACCTGTAATTCCAGCTGTCTGGGAGTCTGAGGCAGGAGGATCACAAATTCAAGCCCAGCCTGAGCATTTAGTGACTTAGACTCTGTCTCAAAATAAAAAATAAAATAAAAAGGGCAGAGAATGTAGCTCAGTTCGAAGACCCTGGGTTCAATCTTCAGTCCTCAGAGAGAAAGAGGGAAGGTGTAGGGAACAGGGGAAGGGGAAGTTACTAGAACCTCTGCAGTGAGTCCTAGTCTCCTGTGAGCCACAGCAGCACAAGGTGAATTAACTTATTATACAGGAAAGGTAGAAAAAACGAGACTGAGTAGAAGCTGAGCTTTGGGCCTGATCAATGCTGCTCTGGGTGGAAAAGATGAAAGCCCCCAATTTACTGCACCTTTTATTCAGTACATCGGGAGAAACAAATGTAACAGATGCCTGGGGAGTGGTGGAATTCCTAGATCAATGAGGAACTATGCAGATGAAGACTGGTTCCTCCCAGGATGTCTTCAACTGCTGTAATCTTGTCCTGGAACATCACAGGATCACTGGAACCTTGAGGTCTCAGTTGTGACCGGAGGCCAAAATGGAATTATGTCTCGAAATGCCATTGCTGGCGCATAGGCAGGAGAACTAGGCCTAATCAAATGATTTTTCCCCAAAATTATGAAGGGGAGGGGAGGGAGGGAAATCAAACAGTGAAGTAAGGAACCAGAGCTTACTTGGGAGTTTTGCAGATGACAAAGCCCAGCCTGAGGGTTGGGGCCTTGAAGAGAAAACCTGAAACCTAATAGAGGAGTGGGCATGCAGGGCTCAGAAGAGGGCCCTCCCTGCTGTGACCACGGAGCAGGAGGCCCCTACTGGGTAGATGGTCTCCCTGGGCATGGTGGTATAGGTCTGTAATCCCACCACAGGGGAGGCTGAAGCAGGAAGATCGTGAGTCTAAGGCTAGTTTGGGCTACTTAGAGAGTTCAAGGCCAGCCTGGACTAGACTGAAACCATCTCTGAGGGGGGAAAAAAGAGTTGGTCTCTAGGGAGGCAGAGATGGGGCAGGCCACACCCCTTTGTCTAGTTTCTTCAACCTTCCAGAACTAGAGTGGATGTGTCTGGATGAATCAGCACATGTTCAATGCCATTACAGGGGGCAGACAGGTCATTTCTGAGCAGGAAGCACTAACGGCGTCATTCCAAAACTGGACAGCAAAGTTTCCAACCTTTGTTCTTTTGGGTGCAAGAGTGTGGATATCTCCACCTCCCCCACCACATCCGGTCTACTTGCTCCCTGAGCAAGCCGAACCAAACCAATGTTCTTATGGGAGCATTTACACCTATGCTTAGGGGCTCTGGGATGGACAAGGGCATTCAGCGTGAGTTGGGACACTCGACACAAGCACCTCAGGAGGAGAGCAGCACCAGGGCTTGGCAGACGGACTGAAGTTGCAGGGAGGGAACCTATTGGGGTTTGACCAACTCTGCGGTGATGCTCTTTATGCAAAGGAACCGCCAAGTGCTGGCTCCTTTTTGCCTGAAATGAAGGTGACCATCAGAGTTATTTGACTTTGACCTCACTTGCACGACAGGGAAGGAATAATGTAATAGTAACATCTCCTTAGATCTCAACTAGTGTACATGAATTGTGTCTATATACATTTCTGCTTCTTTTTTGAACAAGGGATTAAACCCAGGGCCTTTACATTGAGCTACATCCCCAGTCTCCCTTTTATTTTTTAATTTTAAAACAGAGTCTCACTAAATTGCCAAGTTGCCCAGGCTGGGCTCAAACTTGTGATCCACCTGTCTCAGCCTTTCAGAGTGCTGGGATTATAGGTGTGCACCACCATGCTCTACTACCTCTCTGGATTTTAGAGATTATTTTCTATCTTACTTTTTTCTACCTAGGCAAGAAATACATACCACTAACTATGGAGCATCTAAACCCATGTTTCACAAGTTACTGATTTACTGTGAAATCTGCAGAATGATTCAGTAGAATTAGTAGATTGAGCTAATGAAGAGTCTTCAAGCTTTTATTATCATTTTTATGCTACAGCCAGTAGCAAAATAGGTAGAGTCAGCGATGCAATGCACTTGAATTTTACTGCCTGGAAACAGTAAGTAAGCCTCCTGCCTCCTGCAAAGTTGTGTTGGACAGCCCATTCCACCTGGATTTGTTTTTCCACTGTGAAATGTGAGGTGCCATAGCTTTTATTTTTCTTTAGCACTACATGCCTGGCACTCTGCTGGATTTTTACATGGCATTGTCTTGTGCAGTGCTCATAATAGCCCAGTTTTTGAATGAGAAAACTCAGCCTCAGAGGGAGAGCATTTGCTGAGAGACGTCAGTGCTGTCCTATTTCTTTTTTTTTTGTACCAGGGATCAAACTCGGGTCCTTGCACTTGTGAGGCAGGTGGCAGAACCACTGAGCTAAATCCCCGGCCCTGTCCTATTTCTGATTCCATGACCTTAGGAACTTCTACTATTACAAGTGAAATCTTTCCCACTGCTATAAAATATGAATTCTGAAACTGGGCATGGTGGTGCATGCCTATAATCCCAGCACTCAGGAGGCTGAGGCAGGAGGATCACAAGTTCAAGCCCAGCCTGGACAATTTAGGGAGACCTTGTTTCAAAATAAGAAATAGAAAGAAAGGGCTTGGGATTCAGCTGCGTGAAATTCCCAGGACCGCAAAAAACACAAAACCCCTCAGCATCCTCCTCTTGTCCAGTGTAATTTCCTAGAGTGGAAGTAGGGTCCTGAGATAGCCTAAATCAAGGGGAAACAGAAGGACAAACCCAAGCAGCCTGGTGCTGCCCCACACTGAGACTGGCACTCCCTATCATGCTTATACAGCCTCCCTCCCACACTCGGCCCAAGGCTGCTGTAAAGCTGCACTGCGAAGCTGTGTGCATGTGAGAAACTTCTCTGAAAACGCCCCATGCTGCCTCCCCCTGCCCCAGCCCCACCTCCACCTGAGCACCCTGAGACTTTCAGAATCGGGTCCCCCTGACAGCCCCAAGACAGTGATCACCATAACTGTTTGTAAAAATCTGTTTAATAAATATACATCTCAGAAGTACCAAAATAATTACCAGCAAAATACACTATCTACACCATTTACAGGAGATCAGCACAAACCTTGACAGGTAGTGACTTTACCCCACACCACTGCGCACCTGGCTGTCTGTCACATGTCACGAGACACAACCAGGTTCAGCCACTAACTCCATGGTGATTCAATCAAAAGCACAATAAATAAATGTGGTTCTTTCATCAAATTCTGGATAACTTTCTCCCTAAGCTCCAACAAGTTGCAGTTAAAAGGGGGTTGGCTTTGAATTCCAATGATCTTCCTTGTTCCCCCAGGCCAAGTTCACAAAAATTTCAGAATGAGGGCAGATCTGCTGTGGTACTGTCTGGGGCCAGGGCCTGTGCTGTGTGGTGGTAAGAATACCCTTTGAAGTTTTCCTCTTTTTTCTTTTTCTTTTTTTTTTTTTTAGAAAAATAAAACTCTCTTTTTGTACAAATATACAAGTCCATGTTCTTCTTGACACTTTCCACTCATAATGTCAAGCGCTGACCTCCAAACACACAATCATCATACGGCAGCTAAAAACAAAAGAAAAAAAAGACACATTAAACCTGTAGAACTTTGCCAAGGATGACTGGAAGGCTGCTACTGGCAACAGCTCAAATATTCTTGGACTGCTTTTTCCATAACTAAAAGATAATGAACCTTACAGATGGGGGCAGTTTTCCTTTAATACTCCCCTACTTTTAAAAGGTTAAACTAGCCAGTCATGAATTATATGCCTGTAATAGAGGCTGATGCAGGAAAAAGATCACTGAGTTCAAGCCCAGCCTGTGCTTAGTTGGCCTAGACTACAGTGAGACCCTGCCTCAAAAAACCATTAAAAAGAAAAAAAAAGGCAGCATCAGCTAAATTATTGTTGGGGTGTAGCTCAGTGGGAAACACATGCCTACCAAGCATGAGGGCCTGGGCTCACTCCCCAGTCTCTCCAGAAATGTAAGCTATCAAAACCAGAAAGACACAATCCTGGGATACTGGTTATGTACACCGAAGTTTGAGGAAGTAAATTATGCTGAGACTCCTATGATCAATAGTTCTAGGGCCCTGGGAGAATGGCCCTGTCCTTATTTCTGGCAGTGCCGAAGATGTTAAAGGGACTCACCTCATCCTCTGTGAATTCTGACTCTGTGTCATAGCTCTCTTCATCCTCACTCTCTGGCAGCATCTGAAGGTTTTTGAGGGTCAGCTGGCCCAGCTGCTGCTGAATCCGGGTGCTTGGCCGGCCCCAGGTGAGCTGGTATGGGGAGTAGCCTTGGTAGGTGACTCTGTTGACATCAGCCCCACACTTCAACAAGAGTGACACGAGGTCAGGATTCTGAAGGTCCACTGCGAGGTGGAGGGCAGTCCGGCCATTGCAGGGCTCCTGAGGCGCAAAGAGATTTGAGATGCTTACGGCTGAGTTTGGAATTGCTGCTTGCAACAAGAGCGTGGCAGTGTTGCTGGGGAGGAGTCCTAACCCTCCATCTGGCGGCATGAAGCACTCACCTGAGCATTGACATCAGCACCCAAGGACACCAAGAGCTCCACGATGCCTAGGTAGTTGTGGATAGAGGCCAAGTGCAGACATGTGTGGCCTAGAAGAGAAAAGGCAAAAACATGTAAGTATTTGTTCAAGCCTCACATCTGACACAGAAGCTTTCTCCTATCCTTTTAAGGAACATGTGTGCTGAGTTTTAAGAACTCAGTACAGATTCTGCATGAACTTTATAAAATCTTTCTCATGTTGGAATGTACCATTGTAGTTGGTGGCCTGCAGGATGGAGTGGAGGCGCTGTGCGGTGCAGGTCTGTGTCAGCACTCCAACACTGGCCAGGCAGCCCTGCTCGCAGGCAAGGTGTAGGGGGGTGTTTCCTCGAAAGTCCCGGAGCTCAGGATCACAGCCAGCTTCCAGAAGTGCCTGAGTAATTTCAGGCTGCTTGGTGATCACAGCCAAGTGCAGTGGAGTCTGCAGGCGGAAGAGGAACAGAAAGAGGATAAGCCATGGAGCAAACCCACAATCCGATTTCCCCAACCCGGACATCTGCTTGTGGACACTGCTCCTCCCAGACAGGTACAGGGGGCCAGGCAATTTCCAGAGGCCCCGGGCGGGTCATAAAGACCTCAACAAAAGAGTGGAATGTTCTTCACTCCATAGGATGTTGGCTGATTTGTGTGCCAGAGAAACAGTGACTGATAATTTAGAAAGGATCCGGGGGCAACTATCCAGCTCCATTCCGCGTCAGACAGGGTACAAGGCCCGGTGAGTAGCGCACCTGCTGCAGGTTGTTCTGGAAGTTGAGGAAGGCCAGGTCTCCCTTCACCTGGCGGATCACTTCCATGGTCAAGGCCTTCTCTTCATGGATGATGGCCAAGTGCAGGAACCTGAGGGTGAAGAGGGAAACCCCCAGGGGTGGTGAGCACGCTGCGTGGGGCCCAGGCTGCAGGGATTGCGCAAGGCCGGGGTATCTGGAGGCCGAGGCCGCGGTGTTTTCCGCGCGGTTATTATGAGCTGAGTGTTCCTGGCAGGCGCCCAGGGACTTTCCGGGCCCCACCCCCAGCGCGACGGCGCCAGCCTGGTCCCCTCCCCTCCCCCCGGCCGGAACGCCCTGTACTTCCCCTCCCGGCCGCGCGGCGCCCGCCCGGGCCCAGAAACTCCCGCCCGCCTTATGCAACCCCGGCCTCGGCGGAGGGGGCCAGGGGGAGGGGGTGTGGCGCCCCGGGCTGCACAGGGGTCCGCGACCCCCGCCCGGTCCGCGACCCGCGCAGCCCTGCACACCCCTGCACGCCCCCGCGGCCCTGCAGGTCCCGGCCCGGCCCCGCGCCCCGCCGCCCGGCCCGCGGCACTTACGAGTCTCCGTCCTCCGTCAGCTGCTGCTTCCAGGGCTCGGCGCCGCGCGGCGCCTCCTGCGGCTCCAGGCGGATCTCCCGCAGCTCCTTCACCATCTGCTCGTACTCCTCGTCCTTCATGGAGTCGAGGCCGCTGTCGTGGCGGTCGTCCAGCAGGCGCTCCTTCTTGAGCCCGTCGCGAGGCCCCTCCATGGCCCACTCCGGGACGCGCTCGGCCGGCTGGAACATGGCGCGGTGCCGGGTGCGCTCGGCCGCAGGCTGCGCGCTGTGGTCCTCGCTGAGTGTGGCGCCGGCCTCGCTCTGTGCGCCGCCGGCTTCCTCGCGGTGGTGTCGCTGGCGGGCAGGACGGCGAGCTCGGGCTGTTGTGGGCTCGGCAGCGCCGCCGCGGCGCCCTATAAACTCTGGCAGGGGATTTCTCCGGGGCGGGGTCAGGCGCGGGGAATTTCCAAGCCAGTCAGACCAGAAAAGAGAACTGACTTCGTCCTCTGCTAAGCACCTAAACCCTGAGCCGGGGTTCATCAGAGAAACTCCCTGCGATGAGCCACTGGGGTCATTGTCCGGGAACTTTTTTGATGAGCTCTGAGTGGTGGAAAGTCCTCTCGATGAGCCCCCCCCCCCCCCAGGTACTTCCCTGCAGCCTGCACTCAGTAATCCTGACTCCCTGCAAGAAACCTTCTTTCCCTGGGGTTTCCCACGATCGATTTGATTTGGGGTCGTCAACTGCTGAGATCCAAAGGACGCAGACGGTGGTTCCTGTTTGGGGTTTGCCAACTTGCCGGTCCTTTCCGTTTTTCTGATATTTTGAAAACTCAAGAGTGGAAGTGATGGCTAGGTGTAGGAATTTGCTTCCACCAAATTTCTTTGTGCAGGGAAGGACATGGGTGGTTTAGAAGGTCGCAAGCCGTCTGTGTTTCTGCCAATAGCAGCTCTTTGCATTGCAGAGACATTTGGCTGCCGCCCTCCCACACATCATAAGAAACTGCGAAAGCTCTGGCATTAAAAACCTAAATGCTTGGCGAACCCTCAAATCATTTTTTAGGGATTAATGATCCTGTGGACTGGAGGAGGGGAAAACTCGGGCTCTGTATGAGGAAAGTACTAAATAGGGACCATGATTTCTTTTTTTCCAAGTAAAGCAAGGTGTTGATCTTTGTAGTTAGTAGAGGTTCAGGATGCCTTGCAATATTGAAATAACTACTGAGCTCATGCTCTCTGATTTACAACGAGCTGCTGCAGAGAAAGGAGCCCGAGCTTACTTGTGGGTGCCCAGCTGAACAACTGGGTTAGTGCCTTGCCTGAGATTGGCCCTTAAGGATAGCTGCAAAGTACCTGTTAGCCATCCTTCAGGAGGCTCAGCCAACCCTAACATTGCCCCCACCTACCACTGCTGGCCCTTAGCCCCCCATCCCCAGGCTAGCAATTCGAGCTATCCTCTCCTTGAGGGGAGCCACTCTGAGAGAAAGGGGTTTGGCCTGACCATCTACCCTCTGGTTTCCCCTGCAGAATTAGAACACATGCTCCTCCCACCCCATCTCCTAGCCTGCAAGCCAAGGGTTGAATGCTCCAACTACTTCTAGAACTGGTCCAGGCAAAATAAAACACCTTGGCCCAAGTTCTTCAAAATTAACCGCAGGAGGTCTCTGGTAGTTGTGCAGGGATTTCTGGTGATTATTGCAATCATCTTTTCCTAACTGGCCAGACACTAACCAGCCCTTCTTCATATCTCCATCCCCTCCCCAAGTATTTGAATGTAGAAAAAAATGAATCTATAAGGTGGATACAAAAATATGAGGAGAGGATGTGAAGACTTCCCGGGGATTGACTCCACTGTCTGCAGGATTCTCAGGCAAATGTACAGTTATTGAGGTAAGGGGCAACAGTGACTATCAGTAGATCTCAAATTCCAGGTTCTGCCGCTAGTTAATTGCATGTATGGCAGAGGTCAGTTACCTTTTTTTGTGGTATACTTGCTTTTTTATTAATAAGGGATTTAATGTTATTTAAGTTCTTTGGTGGCTTAAAAAGTTGTATTAGAACTTGTGCACAAATGCGTGTCTAACCCTCCTTTGGAAGGGTGACTGTGGCTTTTGGAAAGATCACAGTATAATTTTTTTTAGTACCAGGAATCGAACTCAGGGCCTCGAACTTGCCACACACTATAAATTTTTGAAAGAACTGCAACATTTTATGCATCATATTCTTAGTTTTCAGAACTAATCCTGTGAGATAAGTATTGTTCCCACTTTCCTAAAAAGAAACCGAGATCCATAAAACATTACCCAGGCACCCTATAGCAGTTTTTCTTATTCTTATCCTGATACAGTAATCATTTGGCCAATGAAGTTGTAGTATTAACATTTGAAAATATATTGTGAAAATGAAACTGAATACACCATAATTTGGAATATACTCAAAAGTATCTTCTATTCCAACTGTTAGGTAAAATAGAGAGTGAGTGTTCCCCTACGTGGGGCTATTTGCTTTTTAAAAAAATGCACAGCAATGTCGAACTCTAAAAGCTCCACTTATAAGGGGCACGTAAGAAGATTTGGGGCTGCAGTTATAAAAACTCAGGAATAGTTTTCTCTCCAGCTCCTCTGATGGTTTTGTACTTGGGACTGGACAGCCGGTAGGACCTGGTGGTCCGTGTTCCCGATTTAGTGCGACACCTAGTGGTAAGAGGCAGCCCCAGCTTTCCTTGATTAGTCACATGGCCTTTTGAAATATCTAGTGGTGCCTCCAGCCTAGCAGAGGTGGGAATTCCCAAGGAGCAACCTATTGTTTTCCTGCAAGCCTAGGAGATGGTTTTGAATAATGCGATCCAACAGGTTTTTCTCTCCACATTGTCTAAGTCAACGAACATTACAAGTTAGGTGAAAGGAATGTACTTGGACATCGAAACCACGAGCAGATTGGCTTTTTTGGGGGTGGTATACAAAAAAGAAGATGACAACACAAGGGCCTGGTTTTTGGTTTATTGTGGACCCTTTGGTACTTGGAGTTCCTCAGCATTGAACCAGGGGCTTCATGCATGTTAGGCTGACTCGACCCCCTGAGCTACACACCTAGCCCTTTGTTTTTTTGTTTGTTTTTAGTGCAGGAAGTAAACGAGTGATAAGTTTCACCTCAAAGCTGGTTTGTATATTAACTCAGGACATGGCCATAGAGAATGACAGAGTGGCCAAGTGACCCTCCCAGGGGCAGCCTCATGGGAAAAGGAGCATTGTTGGGGCCCCATGGGGCTGCAGGTACCCCGTGACCTCTTTCTGGCTGGGAAATGCACAGTCTGGACTAAACCTGCTGTCTGAGGTGCCTGGTGGTAAGCAGCATGGAGATTTTCTGTAAGTTCAGCCAGGTGGTCCAGTAACCTCTGCTTTTCCTAACATTAGGGGCAGGGTGGCCTGTGCCATTTAGCCTGGCCAGTGAAACCTAAATTGGATCCTGCAGAGTGAACTCAGGCTACCCACCACTCAGTACTGCCGAGCTTCGAGAGAGGAGCCATGACCGCTCTCGAAGGGCAGGCAGGGCAGGCACACTCCTGATGAGTGGCCCATGCTGGCGCTCTTCCTGTATATCCTGCTTGCAACCTCAGACTCAGTCTTCTTTCCCCTGTGAGGGTCAGCAACTTTCTATACCCACAGAGCCGGAGCCCTGTGCTGTGGATCTTCATTCACAGTGAAGTGAAAATGTCAAGGTGAGCTTCTTTGGCTATACACTCTTTGGTTCAGTGGGGATTAAAGCCTCAAACTCAAATACGTCTGCCCAGGAACCAGACAGATCTCTAGGAAGAGTGAAGTCCGCTTGAGCCCAAAGGGAGCAACCAGATCTCCAGCAGCACAGGCCCCGGTGTGCTTCCCTCCCTGGCCATGCAGCACTGAGTGCAGCAACAACTTTCGTGTTTTGTATTTGTTTTTCTTTTCTTGGGTGCTGGGGCCTCGAACAAGCTAGGCAAGTGCTCTCTCTGCCCCTGAACTACACCCCCAGGCCTCGTCCATTGTTAAAGAGAAGAAAACAAACCCATACAGGAGGACTCACAGTGGAGAAAAGCCCCCGATGTGAGGAATGTGTTAGGGCCATTACTTCTTCCGCTTCTGTTGGTTGACATGAAAAAACTCATTCTGGAGAAAAACCTAGGAAAATGTGGAATGTGGAAATATGTTTTATTTCTTTCACATCCATTCAAAGTCCCACAATAATGTACACTACTGGTAGACCTTATAAATATAAGAATGGACACTGAGCAGAAGCCCTATTTATTTGGATGAAAAAGGAAAAATCATGTGAGAACTCCTTTTGGAAAGAAATCTTAAAAATGTAAATAATATTCAAATCTGGATGCAAATTGTTACGTAATGCTCAAAATCTCACAACATGAGTGAAATGTTACACCATCTGTGAGTATGTTGTTTATCAGTAGCACATAACTGAAGAAAATTTCTTGGCAAATAAAAAAAGGTAAAGAAAAGAGATTTCAATGTGAAAGTTTTCAAATTTTGACGCATCATGAAAATCAAACAATGCATTTCTGCATCTTTTGGCTAAAGAGAGAGAGCCCACAGGCCTTGAGTTTACAGCCTCGTTTCCCAGCCCAGGTGTAATGTTTTAATGGTAATTTCTGCTCCTGTGGAACAGGAGAAGGGTGGCATCAGCAGAGTTGGAACTGACTCTGAGGCCTGAAGAGAGTTGTCCATCACCCAAAGCAATGTTCAAACACTACACCACAAAATAAATGCAAGTCCAAAAAACTTCTGACTTTTTTGTGTGTGTGTTTGCAGTACTGGGAGTGGATCCTAGGGCCTTCACAGGGAGCTAATCCCCAGCCTGTTTTTTATATTTTTATGTTGTGACAGGGTCTTGCTAAATTGTTAAATTGTCCAGGCTGGCCTTGAACTTGCAATCCTCCTGCATTCAGATGCCCAGAACTCTGGGATTACAGGAGTGCACTGCCATACTCGGCAAAGTTCTGACTTTTTCACAAGCACCCAGTATGTACACATTTTTAATTTTTTAGTCCTCTTAGCCAGTAAGCATCCTGTGCAGGGCTCTTACAGTGCTGCGCCCCAGCCACATGCACAAGGAAGGAGGAGGCCTGCACATGTGGCCCTTGGCCGGGATCCCGGGCTCTCCCTTTTCATGGCTTGTTGGCAGCAACCAAATAATATTTGTAGGTGTGTGGGGCTGCTCAGGCTCTGTGGGTTCTGGGAGGAGTAGCTGGATCAGGAAGGCAATGTCTGAAGAGCACGTCGTTCCCCTGGATGCCATTGTCCTGTGTAAATTCGCTGGCATTTAGTCAGGGTGGGAGGAGATTTAGAAACAAGACAGATCCACCCTAGAGCTGATGCTTGGCAGGATATGAGACACCAGCAGCTAGGCCCGTCCTTGGCCACCATAATTAGGTGAGGGGCTCACGATCCTGTTGACATCAGGGCAAAACCAAACTCACCACCAGACTCACACTGCCAAACTGTGTGAAGTGGGAACATTTTCTCCTTAAGGTCTAAGGTCTTAGGAATAGTTTAGGACAAAGGTAAACAGTGGGAGTTGCTAAAAGATTTGTTCTAAGGCCGTTACTGGGGAAGGATACCTGCAATGCTGTTGATTCCCAAAGTAATTCTTAGTTGAGTTTTACACACTACAGGCAAATGTGAGACAGAGTAAGAGGAGCAAACAGAAGCCATGGAGAAAGGGGTGGATTGGCCCAGAATGTTTGTTCTTTCTAGCAGGTCCTGGCTGTCACAGTCCAGTCCCATGACTGTCACATATTCCCCTTGAATAAGTCACTTAGCTTACCTCAGGAATGCTCATTATTTCCTGTATCCTGGCAATACAGGATTTTTTTTTTTTTTTTTTGTATAGGGGATCACACCTAGGGCCTTATGCATGCTAGGTAAATGTCCTACCACTGAGCTGTATCCCCGGACCACTAGAAGTGTTCCCTAAATCATTCCTAAAGATTTTTTTTAAAAAAAAACCCAAGAACACAGATACTTTTAGAAAGTGAGGTAGATTAATGCATCACCAAGTCTTTCAATGCTAATATTTGAACATTGGGCCCTTGGGAGAGTGGGAGAAATCTGGAAGAGGGGTATTCCTGCACACATTGACAGAGACTCAGGGGGTCAGGGGAATCGGGCTGGGGTAGACAGCACAGGGTGGGTGTTGTTAAATAAATGTTATGAAGATGATGATGAAGAGAGACCAGGCATGGTGGCACATGCCTGTGATCTTAGGATGTGAGAGGCTGAAGTAGGAGGATCACCACAAATTTGAGGCCATCTGGGCTACATAGTAAGTTCAAGGACAGCATGGACTACTCCCTACACTCTGTCTCAAAAAGCCAAAAAATAGGGCTGGGGATTTAGCTCAGTGGTTCTGCCTGGTTCTGCCACCTGCCTCGCAAGTGCAAGGTCCCAAGTTCGATCCCAGTACCAAAAAATAAATAAAATAAAAAACCAAAAAATAAAAAATAGCAGGGAAGTGAACGTAGAACCCAGTCACCATGTTGACTCTGTCACCACCTCCAAGATGCCAGGACATCGGAAAACACCAAGCAGGATTTCAGGGCAGGGAAGGTAGGGACACAGGAGAAGTAGAAGGGGCTGCCCATGGGTTTAAGGGTGTAGAGAAACCACAACGGAATAAATCCACACGAAAAGGTAAGCAGTGTGGAGGGTACTGTCTGCAGCGACATCTCCTGGCCATTTATGGAAGAGCTTTTCTCCGAGGAATCACTATTTTTATTATTATTTTTTGACAGGGTCTCTAGGTAAAAGTTCAGGCAGGTCTCAAGCCCAGTATCCTCCTGCCTCAAGCCCAGGATCCTCCTGCCTCAGCCTCTGGGATTAGTGCTGGCATGCACCATCACGTCCAGCATATCATCTCCTGGAGGTGTGGAAAGCTAGGTGAGGACGTACACTGAGGCTAGATATTTGGTCGTGCACCATTTACCACAGTGCCAAGGAAAGACCCTCTGCCTGTGAGCTGGCCTCTCCAGCAGCCCCTTGGCCAGTCAGCTCTGTTCACTGTGGTTCTGAAATGGCACCCAGACCTCTTCCCATTCCTCTGGCCCCTGAGGAGTGAAGGCCCTGTTGTACCGTGGTAGCTGCTTCTTTTTTTTTTTCTTTTGGTACTGGGGATCGAACTCAGGTCCTTTGTTGAAACCACTGAGCTAAATCCCCGGCCCCCATGGTAGCTTCTTGATTTGTTGCTTATATATTTATTGAACAGAATTTGATATAATTATCAAATATTGACATCTTCAGACCTATTCTTTCGGTAAGTATCACTTCCCGCCCCCACACACTGCGGATTGAACCCAGGGCCTTCACACTGAGCTATACCTCCAGTCCTTTTTAAATTTCTATTTTGAGACATGGTCTCACTATGTTTCACAGGCTAGGCTTGAATTTAAGATCCTCCTGCTTCAGTCATGAGTCACCACACCTGGCCGCCCTCTTATTTTAAATGAAATTGAGGCTAGGGCTGGGGATTTAGCTCAGTGGTTTTGTCGCGTGCTGCGCAAGCGCAAGGACCCGAGTTCGATCTCCGGGACCAAAAAAAAAAAAAAAAAAAAAAAGAAATTGAGGCTCATAAAGCTGAAGGAGATGGGTATGGTGGCACACACCTGTAATTCCAGAAGGCTGAGGCAGGAGGATTGCCATGAGTTGGAGGCTAGCTGGGGTTACATAGTTCAAAGCTGGCTTGAAATGCATAGTGAGATGCTGTCTCAATCAACCAAACCAAAAGCGAAAACAGCTGAAGGAATTCACCCACTAGGCAGTCTTGGACCAACCATGTAAATCCATCCTTCCCCTGCTCCCCACCAAACCCTACAATGTTGTTTGTTGTTTGTTGCCTTTTTTTTTTTTTTTTAGTTTTCAAAGGTATTGGCTTACATTATACTTATATTTTCCATAGTTTAAATTTTTAATTAGTTTTTAAGTTGAAAAGTAACATGTATGTGGTTAAAAAAATCAAGATGTCTAAAAGGGTTATAATTATACAATTCACTTTCTTGGGTCTGGGATGGTGTAGCTCAGGGGTAGAGCACATATTTAGCAAAACCCGAGGCCCTAGGTTTGATCTCCACTGCCACACACAAAAAATTCTTTTTACTGCTGGTTTTTTTTTTTTGGTTCCAGGAATCGAACTTAGGTCCTTGAGCTTTTGGGGCAGGCGGTGGCACCACGGAGCTAAATCCCCGCCCCTTTTTACTGCTGTTTTAAATACATATTTCCATCAAGAGATGGAAGGAGGGCTGGGGATTTAGCTCCATGGTGCCGCTGCCTGCCTTGCAAGCACAGGGTCAAAGTTTGATCCCTGGTACCGGAAAAAAAAAAAAAAAGAGAGATGGAAGGAGGGGGAAGGGACAAGGCAAGGGGAAGCTGAAGGAATTAATATGTGTTATGTACATGCGCCAACTCCCGCATGGTGAATGTAATCATTATGTACTGCAAACATGTACTAATAAAAATTAAAATTTGAGGAAGAAAATAATGCATGTTTCCTCTTACGATTTTGTGTAATAGAATTGAGGCAGGAGATTAGGGCATGGCAAAGTGGCTGGGCAAGCAGGCATGACCTATCAGTCACAGGGACTCAGTGCCTGCACAGCACAGCTTCCAGGCCCTGCACCTGGCACCAATCAGAGAATGCTGCCTTCAGTCCTTCGGAACAGATCAAACAGGCTTTTGATAGGGCGGCCTAGGCCTGCCATCCGAATGGTTGGCATAAAGACGGCGGCCCCTGGCCTCATGGCCGCTGCCTCCTCTCTTTCTCAGTGGTCCAGTTTTCATTCTGCATATTTCTTTTCCTACTTTAATTGGCCTGCACTCACTCTGCAGAGCACTTCTATCTTTTCTTACCTTTAATACATTTAATGAATATAAAACCCCACTACTTGGTTTCCTATCCAATTCTTTGTTCAGAACAAGAGGGCTGGGGATTTAGCTCAGTGGCACTGTGCCTGCCTCGCAAGCCCAAGGTCCTAAGTTCAATTCCCGGTACTGCCAAAAAAAAAAAAAAAAAGAACAAGAGCCTAGAAAGGACCCCTAGGAAGGGCACGGGACCCCAGCACCCCACTAACAGAATCTCCAGTGACCTACCAAGGCCTGCAGGAGAAGTGTGAATTCCTCAGCCAGCATTTACAGTCCTCCAGACTCGGACCCCACCTAGCTTAGCCACTGATGGTCACCCTTGGTCCCCAGCACTCTATCTCAGCTGCTCTGGCCTCACGTAGGACTCTGCCCTATCCCTCCCTCCCTCCTTCCCTCCCTGTCCAAGGGCCACTGTCTTTCAGCTTCCTTCCCAGGCCCAACTTTTTTGAACCCCCTTCGCTGTCTGCCTCTCCCCAGTGTTCTGTCCATTTCTGGTTCCTTCTTTCAGCTTGTCTTGCACGTTGGCCCATATATTACCTTCCTACTGCTTAGTCATTGCTGACCCCTTGATTAGACACTTCCGGGTGTAAGATGGATGGGCTCTGCAAGGTGAGAGGAAAACATTCATTTCTTCTGCATCTCCCTTACCAGGCCCTCATCTGTGGTCTGAGAATCCTTTTCCTCCATAGCTGTCATAATCATTCTTTCATTCTCCTTTCTGTTAATAGTTCACTCTTCATTCAGTCAACTTTCCTTCTCTGTCGGGAAATTATCTCCAGAGGTCACTCGATCAAGGTTCTTCCTTCAAATGAGTAAATGATCATGGATCATCGTTGACATCTGACAAAGGAAGCAGACCCCCAGGGTGGAAACCATTAGGAGAATGGGCATCAAACTGAGTCACCACAGAACCCAGCCTGTTGTCCCAGGGGAATGAGGATGGGAGCAGTAGGAGGAGAAGTGAAGAGATTAGGAGAGACCTAGGTAGTAGCTCCTTCTCCTCTGCCCTCTTCTGCTGCCTGAGAGTCACCCTTGAGGCAGGACCCCGGCCAGGAGGATGAGTCCTCTCCTCAGCCCTTCAGTTAAGGAGACAGGTGAGGGGCCAGGAACTTACTCAGTCCAGCTCCCCCAGCAAGAGATGAATAGCAAGTTGGGGCAGAAGCTCTACATTAGAGAATGTCCTGTGTTAGCAATGCTTTGACCACAGAACAGTGGGAAGGAGGCTGAATGGGAATCTGGCTGGTTGGCTGACAGGTCCCCCGGCAGGGTGATGCCTCGTTACACCTCCCATCAATGGACTTGGTGGCCCAGGGCTCATGTGACTGGCTGACCCTCAGGATGTGGCTGGAAGACCTGCAGCAGCCCTTCCATGGTGCTTTTGATGGCTTTCAGAAGCTGGGGTATTTCCGACATGAAATATCATACCTCAAAAGCTTGACCTAGTTTAACAAAGTGTACATAAACTCTCAGAATTCAAAGTGAGAAGCCCACGGCTATACGGAGAATGATGTATGGTTTGTAGTTTCAGATCAGGCAACATCTAGAACAATTTATTTCCCTGATGAGTTTCCCTCGCAGAGGAAATCCTAGGGAGAAGGTTAGATTGTCCAGTGTAGGCTCCCTATCATGGACTCTGATCACGAGAATTTACCCAAATACTATTACATACAACCATTCACTAAATTTTTGAATAAAAGTACTACAGGAGGTTACAGATGTGTCTGATGTCAGGGCGTCATCACAACTTTCCACTGTTAAAGGCCATTACCCTCTCACTTCAAGTCTTTTTGCTCTCGGTTTGGGTGTAGCAATTCGTCAGGTCAGCCCTGGGTGATTCATAGGAGCAACAGCAAGAGTGAAAAGTAAAGCTACTACAGAGGGCTGCTGCCTGGGAGGTGTTGAAACTGAGGCTAAAAATAGGTGGGGGGTTCCTGGGCCAGCCTCCTTCATGGCCTCAGGCATCAAAAAGGAGCATTCAGGAGGGAAATCTGCTTTTGAGCCTTGCCCACAAGAGAGAGCAAAAGCCCCCACCTCTGTTACCCCTGCCCCACGGGAAAAGCTCAAGGTGACAATGAATTTGGTGGTTTCAAAATGTCACAGACAGCCTCTCACCCCTTCCTCCCCCGGACTTCTGATCAGAGGCTTTCCCTCTGGTACATTCACTTTCTTAGTTCCTGCTTTCTTAGTTAGCTGTGTTTTGTCAAAGGATTAAGATAAAGGAAATGCATGGGGGAAGGGTGTGAGGCCCCGGGTTCAATCCTCAGTATCACACATACACCCCCCCCCCATCAAAGATAGAAGAAATGTAAAATATTGACAAAACAAGGATAATATGGGGGAAAAGTACTCAGAGGGAAAAAGCACTGTGGGGCCAGATATGGTGCTGCATACCTGTAATCTTGGCAGTTGTGAGGCTGAGGCAGGAGGATCATGAGTTCAAAGCCAGCCTGGGCTACATAATGGACTCAGAGCTGGCATGGATGACATAGTGAGCCCTTTCTCAACTCCTCACCGGCAAACAAAAAAAACCAAACAGCACTGTAGGTAAAGAAAAAGCAAACATCAGTTTGTCAAACATTTATTAAGCACTTACTTTGTGCTAAGGTGTAGAGGTACAATGAAAATAAAATATACTTCCTGCTCTCAAGGTGCTTCTAGACTGGTGGAGAGGTAGTTAGTGATTCTAGTAACCGGTGGTAAGCAATATGGCTGCCGTAAGGACATGATGCTTGGGGAGCATGGAATGGGGAAGCTAAGTCACACAGAGTGGATTGGTTAAGGGGTCTTTGAAAGGGAAGGCAGTATAGCCTGCCTGAGAGCAGAGGTGTGGGGCAGACGTGGCAGAGGAAGGACTGAGTCTGGTGTGAGGACAAGCAGTGCCTCAGGGCTAGGTGTGTGAAAGAAGGTGAGGCAGGAAAGATAGGGGCACGGCCATGGGACCCAGCGGAGAAGCTGAGATGACATCCTGAGAGCAATGGAAGGACACTGAGGTGTTTTTTGTTTGTTTGTTTGTTTGGTACTGGGGATTGAACTTGGGACCTTTCGCTTGTGAGGCAGGCGGCCGCACCACTGAGCTAAAGCCCCGGCCCCCACTGAGGTGTTTTAAATGGTGGTGATGGCCAGGTGTGTGCCTCAGGAGTGGCAAAAAAACAGGAGTGAGTGAGGCAGAGGCTGGTGACTGGAAAGGAAAATGGCTGATGAGAGGTCGGGATTGGCTGTCTGAGATGGAGGAGAGAGGGCACAGTCTGGGAGCTCTGCTTCTGACTTTGGCTCCTTTGCAGGGAGCTAGAAGGAAGAGCAGTTGAAAGGGAGATGATGAGTTTTGCCTTGGACACATGAATTTCAAGGGCCCCGTGAATATATGACAAGCAATTTAATGTGAGGAGTCCTAAGAGTATGCGATATTTGAAAGTAATTCTGCTTTAAGGGAAATAAGACCACAGTTTGTGTTTTTTTTGTTTGTTTGTTTGTTTGTTTTCTGGTACCAGGGATCAAACTTAGGACCTTCCACTTTCGAGGCGGGTGCAGTGCCACTGAGCTAAATCCCTGGCCCTGACAATAGTTTATTCTGAGCCAAATGAGTGACCATGACCAGGGAATGCCAATTCAAGTTACCCTGAATGTCATATTCTGCCATGGAAGAGGTTACATAAGCTTTCATAGTCACAGAACAAAAAAAGTTATAAACCAATACATTTACCAATTCCACTGGTGGAGTTGTCAGGTTAGTGGGCTCTAGCAAAGAAGGAAAATCTCCTCTGTAGGATTCAGATGTTATATCCTCCTCAGGTTTAGTGTTGTGGAGGCTACAGGTATGTCTAACTTAGCAATATATTCCAAGAGCTTTTTTTTTTTTTTGGTACCGGGGATCGAACTCGGGTCCTCGCACTTGCGCAGCAGGCAGCAAAACCACTGAGCTAAATCCCCGGTCCATATTCCAAGAGCTTTGTCTAGGAGTCATGAGGATCTTATTCCAGAGGCTGAGGTCAATAGTAAATTGCTATTAGGGACCAGGGATTTAGCTCAGTGGTTCTACCACCTGCCTTGCAAGTGCAAGGATCTGAGTTCGATCCTTGATACCAAAAAAAAAAAAAGTAAATTGCTATCAAAAGGGGATAAAGATGACCCAAGATAGCTTTGCTCTCGATTGCCACATTCCATCTCCCCACCATCAGGATGTTCCGGTCAGCCCAGGTCGAATAGTCTGCAAAATCTTGAATACAGACATGGCTTCTTCAGAGAACTTCCATTCACTGAAGTGATCAGCTTATTTGAGAGTTAGCTAAAGTTGTGGTAATGACAAAGCCAGCCAGGAATGGTGCATAGAGGTCTGTCTCAATCACTTTCCTTGCTGCTGAGACACAATACCCGATGCCGGCAACTTAGGGGATGGAAGGTTTATTTTAGCTCATATTTCAGTCTATAGTCACCTGGCTCCAAGGCAGGACAGCATGGCAGAGGAGAGCTGCTCATGGCATGGCAGACAGGAAGCAGAGAGGGGAGGGAGGAGCCAGGGAAGGAGATAAGCCCTTCCTGGTCACGCCCCGGTGACCCAGCTCTTCTGATCAGGCCTCACTTCCCAACACCATGCCAGTTGTAGCGCTCCTTATTCCAATCACCTTTCCCAAACCCCTCCTCAGAATGCATGAGGGTTTGGGGCTGCATTCAGGTATAAACCACAACAAGACCCAAAGGCCAATACTGAGAATACCAGCATTGAAGGGGTGAGCTGAGGCTGAGAAGCCAGCAGAGGAAATGGAGAAAACATTGTCCCAAGAAGTGGGAGGAAAACCGAAGGAGGGGATATCACAGAAGCTGGAAAAGGTGGGGAATACAAGAAGGTGGTCATTGTAGAAAGTATCAAGCATGGCAAGAGAGTGGGTCTGTACAAAATCACATTGATTTGAGAAAGCTCACTAATTCAGCACAGTTTGAGAAGAAAAAGGCTAGACTGAAAGGGGAGGAGATTTATTTAACATACGTTATTTAATTATTTTCAAACAGTCAGGCATTTAATGATGGGACATGTTTTGAGAAATGTGCCATTAGGTGATTTCATCATTGTGCAAACATTGTAGAATTTACTTGCTTGCAGATGGTAGAATCTCTTTCATTTTATCAGTGAGCAGATGGAGGTTGATGAGGTTAGATGATGTGCCCAAGGTACCACCTGTATGAGAATATTCTACGATGTTTGCACAATGATGAAATTACCTAATGGTGACCTTCTCAAAACATGTCCCATCATAAAGTGATGTGTGACTGTATTTGAAAGGAGTTAAACAACATATCTTAAATAAAATGTTCTCTTCTTTCAATCTGGCCTTTTTCTTCTCAAATTACCTGAAAAAATATGACCTGAATATATATAATCATCTATTGTTTCTAAGGCCATGAAGATCAAAACAATAGATTAAATCAAGCAGAGAAAATGATACCATCAAGAGATGTGGTAAACATGAGGTGTCTAAGGCTGCTGCTGGCCTAACATAGCATGCTGTTTTATAGTAAACTGTTTTAAAAGTAGAAGAACACTGTAAAATAAGGATTGAAAGTATAGTACAGGCTGGGTGTTGCAGTGCATACCTGTTATTCCAGCACTCTGGGAGGCTGAGACAAGAGAATCTCAAGTTCAGGGCTGGGGATTTATCTCAGTGGTGCTGCTCCTGCCTCTCAAGCACAAGGTCCTGAGTTCGATCCCCAGTAATGGAAAAAAAGAAAAAGAGAGAGTATATCAGGTTCAGACTCAGGTTGGGCAGCTTAGACAGACCCTGTCTCAAAACTTAAAAAAAGAAAAGAAAAAGAAAAATTAAAAAGGGGGTGGGTGGGATGTAGCTCAGTCCAAAGGCACTGGGTTCAATCCCCAGTACCACAAAACAAGGCGATAGTACAGTAAATGTATAAACCATTAAAATTGTTGTTTATTATCATAACTAAAGGTTATGGTTTAGGTCCAGACTGTCCCCCCAAACTCCCGTGCTCAGGAGCAAGGTTTTTGGAAGTGGACTGGATCCTGGGGCACTATACTCATCAGGGGACTCCTCCACTAATGAGGTCAGCAACTGAGGGCCTGGTTAGGGGCAGGTCACTGGGGTTGACCTGGAAGGGTTCATCTCCCTCCATGTGTCCTCCCTTTGCTCTCTGCTTCCTGACTATCATGATGTGAGCCCCTCTCCTCCTCCAGGCTCTTCTACTTGCCATTTCTGCTTTGGAGCCAGCTGACCATTCAAGGGCTGAGACCTCTGAAACTGTGAGCCAAAATAAACCTCCCCTCCTTTACGCTGTGGGTGATGGGAACTGTGTCTCAGCAGTGGGGAAGTGACTAACGCACATATGTAACACATATACATAATTGTATGTGCTGGACTTTTATATGAATGGCAGCACAGTTGTGTTTCCACCAGCATTCACAGACACATCAGTTAGGAGGGCTACCGTATTACAGGTGACAGGAATTGTTCATTGCGGTAATAACTGTATGGGAACATCATTGCATATGTGGCCTGCTGTTGACCAGACCCCTTCTTACAAGGCTAGCAGTGTCCTTCAGGGCCCTGTTTGAAAGATTCACCAGTCCTACGTTAAAAGTATGTAATGAAAATTTAGAATCACTTTCATTTTCCCAAACAGTGGTCAGTGATTGGTAAGGATAGATGATGTGCCCAAGGCCATGCAGTTAAACAATCAGGACTAGAATCTAGATCACTAGATGTTTAGCCTGCTGCTCCTTCCTCTCTCAGCGGTTGGTTCTCAAACTTCAGCTCACATTAGAGTCACCTAGAGGTTTTGTTGAAACAGAGACTGTTGCTCCTGACCGCAGAGATTTTTATTCAGCAAATCCAGCATGGGACTTGAGAATGTCTTTCTTATAAGCTCCAGTTACTTAGCACTGCTAGCCCAGAACCATATTTTTCTCTTTCTCAGTTTTCTTTGTTAGTATATGTTTCCAATCCATAGTGAATGCGTGAGAGAACCTGGTACGTATACGCACTGCATCTTCATCCTTTTTACTCCCCCCATATCCCCTTCCTGTCCTTTCAAAGAACCAACTCTTTGACTCATTAATCCTTTGTACTGTCTTTTAGTCTCAATTTTATTAATTTCCACTCAATCTTTATGATTTCTTTCCTTATATTAGTTTCAGATTTGGATTGTTCTTGTCTTTCTAGACTTTGAAATGCATCATGAGGTTATGTATTTGGGATCTCCCTATTCTTTTTATGAGTGCATTTACAGCTGTAAATGTCCCTTTCAGAACTGCTTTTTTTTTTGGTACTGGGGATCGAACTTGGGTCCTTGCTCTTGCGCAGCAGGCAGCGAAACCACTGAGCTAAACCCCCGGCCCTCAGAACTGCTTTTATTGTATCTTGGAGAACCTTTGGAGAGGCACTGGTTTATAAGCTTGTCTGTAACACTGAAAGCACTGGAGGGTTCTAGAAAAGAGCAGTCAGATCCAGGTTTCTTCATCAGTCTCTCAGAAGCTCTCTTTATGACATTAATTTTCTTGGAAAAGAATATTTTCTAGCTGGGCA